ACTAATATAATTTGCTAAATTTGCTAGTTGATGCTCTTCGAGAGGGTGGCCTATACTTAAATAGTGGAGTAGTAATGGCTAGCTATAGCTACCTCGGATCTTAGGATGGTATTGTGCTGTGGGAAAAAATTTTAGTTGTGACGGAAACACGGATGGTACTACACAGTTTTTGTATGTGCTAGGAGTGTGACAGTGTCTAGAAGTAAAACTATCTTTTTTTGTATTATCTATTAGGTCCAGTTTTGTATTGGATTTAGAGGGAAGAGGTGTCTTTTGAGAGAAAGAAAAAGACACGAGCTATGTAGCAGATCTATTCGTGTGCAAAAAATTGAAATTGGAGCGTTCTCATTCATCTTTCTAGCTTATTCTTCTTCACACCATCGTTTGATTAATATTGAGCTAGTATATTGTATTACGCTATGACTGATTTTTACAAGAAGAACCTATCCTACACTCTTGATGCGACTGTAATAATCTAAGCCAATAATACAATGTTGACTTGGCTATAATTATTAACTTAGGAAGTTACATAACAATCCGAGGTGTAGGAAAGTTTCACTCCTATAAGAGTTTATAGGTCTTGTGGAAGGGTACTTAAACCCCATCCAACTTGACGAGTTTAATTACAAGTAAATCAAAATCAAAACAATGTAGGGCATTGTACATAAATTTTAGGCTGAGACTTTTTTGCGTCAGCCTTACGTTTTAAGGACATTCCAATTCATCATGCAGTTGCAAGTAGCAGGACAAGGACCCCCACTCCCCCGTGCAATATGCACATACGATGACCGATGATCATGGATCCACTGTTTACATCCATTCAATCATCAAGATTATTTATTTATCTCAAGTCTTTTTCATATTTTTGCTACAATAATCACGATCTATATCAGTATTAAAGGTATAATTTATTTTGTTGAGGAGCCAGTATTCAATTTAAAGGTATGATTAAATGATGCTTTATTTTTTGGAGAAGACAGTATTAAATTTAAAGGTATGATTAAATAGTAAAACAAATTGGAGCATCATGTCCTAATCACACTTCTTAATTTGGTTAACAATCATAACCATCGCAGCTTAAATTGCACATTAATTTGGTTAACCATCAACAAAATAATGAGATGACCTGTCAGTTCGCAATTTATATGTAGGACTCAACTTACACAATATGATTTTTGTGGCACTATTTGCACATTTAAATATCAAATTATTAAGTAAAATATGTATATCACATATATATATATGTGTGTGTGTGTGTATATATATATAGCTGTAATCTATATAATAATTTGAAGCGCAAGACCTTGTATTTGTTTAAAACCGGCAGAGGAAAACAAATGATCTAAAGTCACAATAAGGACGGAAGTGATGCAACAAAATGCAATTCATGACAAAGACATTTTTATTCATAAATTTCGTGTAACTTACAACCACTAAGGAGTAACTTTCAAGAGTCATTTAAATCCCATAATATTTATTTTGAAAGAAAAAGAAAATAAAATTATTGTGGCTGTCAAAATTTTAGGAATATATCTTTTGAGTTAGAAACAAATTAAAAGGTTTCTAAAACGCATCTAAATATTTTAGAATTTACGCAATCTTGATGTTGATTACATCAACATCAGCATCATCAGAGGCAACACAAGAATTACAAATAAATTCTTTGCATTCTCAGTCTTTGCTTCATTCTCTAATCTCCAGGTTAATTACTTTCTTTCACTGAAATAAGAAATCACTTTTCATTTTTGGAAATTTGATGTACGAGAAATGCTAAGAGGAATATCTCAAAGTGAGACTCTTTATCAACTTTCTGTCACCTCATATTTTTTGCACAATATTTTATAAAATTGACATTAAACTGTAGGATGGCAGAGAGTATGAAGAGTTCCATGTTTTAAAGAGTCCCCTTAGCATTTCTCTTATGTGTTTACATGCTTGGGAAGGTTGTTCAACGATAACAAACAACTGACAATTTCAGTTAACAGTCTCCCAACAATGTGAGAATATTAATGTTATTTTGAGGCAAATAGAAGTTTATTCCTATCAACGTGCATGGCTCTACCTGTGAACGTGAGACTAATTCAGCTATAGCCTATACATATATATACTCATATCATAGCGCAGATTTGTTGGGTTGCAAAGTAAGTATAATGATCACCCACCCAAACAGAAAATTTGTTTTCATTTATTTAATTTTCTTAGTTTGCTAAAACGAATACAAGTTTATGTATTGGATCTAAGATTTCTCCGATCGATTAAACTTAGGTTAAAGTTCCCCAACCTTTTGATCATTTTCAGGAGTTTGCCTTACTTCCAAGTTGATGACTGCTGAGACGTACGTGTGTGTTGCTTAATTAATTAAATTAATCTTAGTAAATGGATTTTGTTTTGTGCTTAAAATCTGATTAACAAAAGAATACGTAGAAGATAAGGGTAGGCTACCAACCAACAAATTAACTTCCCGTCCACCTCTCCTACTTCTTCTGCCCTTCTACACCTTAACCTTTCATGTATTATGTATGTAAGGTCGTTAAGACAGATATACCCTCCATTTCGTCTTGCTTTGAATAACCTTTTGTTCTGTTTGGGTGGCAGTAACTTCATTACTCAAATGACCAAAAACCACAACCTTTTTGGGTGTTGGTATGCTATCCACGAGGTTGATGCAATATGCATGCATAGAGATCTGCCTATTTAGAGGGCAAAAGGGTAACTCTATCAGGATGTAGGTAGGAGACAAGGACTGCGAAGGTACGTAATATAAACCAGTTATTGAGGGCATTATGTGGGCGAGGGCATTAGCTATCTATAAAACCAAAACCAAGGGAGGAGGGCTGATGATCAACTCACGTAAAGGAAACACAAAGAAGATGAGCCACTACAATATTTGCGGCTGCAACAAGCTTGTCAAGATGAGCTACATCATTTTATTCAACTTGTTGATCATCGGCAGCAGCCTCATAACGCGATCAATTTCAACCGCGATGGAGGATATTAGTGATGAAATGAATAACGACCTGTTAGAGCAGCTCATGTCCAGCCAAGAAGATATGATGCAGGTTGCTGGATATGGAGAAGAAAAGCTTTCCACCGTCCTTATTACAGGCTCAGTCCATTGCGAGCAGGCTTGTATTAATCGTAATAATTTGAATAGTTTGCATTCTGATCAAACTGATCGTGATCATCAGCTTCATCGTCATGCATGGCCTCTATCAGGTTTGTATCTTAATTATATACTTGAATCATGCTTAACAATCCTGATAGGTCTATATATCTACATACGAATCTAAATATAAATGTTTCCAGCATATATAGATTAATTTCCTACGTCATGCAGCTAATTGCGTACGTGCTCACGTGCTGTTGTTTTTGTCTCTTCCATTGTGTGACAAATATTAACTGTTTATTGTTAAACTTCATACACTCATTATATATCACCAGCTATATACATGGCAACAATTTAGACTAGCGAGTACAGCTCCCTTTTCGTCCTTTAATTTTCTCTTAGATATATCCTTATTAGTTCATAATCTTAGATTAATCACATAAGCCGAGGAATCCAAGTTCAGCGTGTCAATAATTTGTATGTTTGTGAGTTTAAACTTTAGGATTATGAATTAAGAATGAGTTACAGGAAAAAGTTTATGGTAAAATCTGGCGGGTTTGAACTGAAATCGATCTGAGTTCAACTTGATATAGGATAGGATTATGAAACTAAAATTTGAATTAAGAGGTCTCCCAAGAGTTCTTCCCATCAAACACGATATTATATATGTAGCCACCACCTTCGTTATGTTTTGATGAAGACTTTCTCAATATACACACACACTGTGTCTCTCTCTCTCTCTTTCTCTGTCTCTCTCCCCTGCGAATAACTGCTCTTTAAAGCAATCACCTGACATTTTGATGTTCACGTTGGGCTAGTGAAAATCCTCTCCTTCTCCTAATTGATTTGGACATATAACATAGTTAATGGATTTCTCTAGGGACAAATATTCATTCGAGCTTTCCGAAAATACCCTATAATATATACACACACACACACACACACACACTTATACAAATTATGCCAGTACAATATACTGTCATCCAACAACTATATATGGACCTTACAGAAAGAAATTCACGATTAACTTTATAACGCTAATTAATCTAAACTTTATTTGACTTAGATGAAAAGCAAAAACGTTGCTTTACACATTTTATGGTATTTTTTTAATTCGGGGATATAATTGTATCGAAAACAACCATTCAGCTCAAAAAAAAAAAAAAAAAAGTGAAAGCGCTATCCTTGGCTCAATGAGATAGAATGATGTAATTAAGTCATGTTATGATAATTTAATTTACAATTTCAATTAATTCTAATATTCCTTTTCCTATTAACTGCAAAATCATTGGTCAAAATCTACAGGTGCTTTGGTGTCTGTCAATTGCCGTGTTAGTGGGAGAAGAAGAAAATCCAGTTTGGCACAAAGCGTCACAGATGAATTCGGGGAGTTCATGATTGATCTTCCTTCCAATCTACATGCAATTCCCAACTTGGACAAAACATGTTGTGTTAGAGTACTTGGGATACCAAAGAACGCACAATGCCGACCAGCTTCTGTCAGGAGGCACAAGGGACTCAAACTATCGTCGGTTGGTAATGGCATCCGAACCTACACCGCCGGAAGGATAAGGTTCCAGCATTTGACCTCTAAACCTTCACAAGCATGCGTTGAGGAAGCAAGCAACAATCAGATATGATCATACAGATCCATTGCATATTAGACTGGGATCCTGGATGGCGCTGCAGTCACGGCATTGAGATGGAAGGGTTTGAACTCATCATACTGATATGTATATACGTTTATAGGAAAAGTGCGAAGACAGATTCATCCACTTAAAAATAACAAAAAGAGGAAGTATAGCAACACTGAGATGCAGGGGTTTGAACCAATTCTACTCATCGGATGTGCAGTATTAGCATAATGACATATATCATGTATGTAAATGCTTCGGGAGATGAATATCATATGATATAAGATATGCGAATTGAGAGGTGTGATCTTAATCAGTCTCAAGGTTTTACCTACATTTTTATAGCTTTAAAATAAGGCTAATTAATGTCATGTGAAAATCCCAAAAGACATTTTGAATACAGAAATCATGTCCTAAATGGGAATTAGGCAGGACTAAACACACTTCTGCTCAGCTCCAGAAGTAATGTATCTTGCAACATCAGCACAGCAGGTCAACTTATCGGCTTTCTCTTCAGGGATTTCAATGGAGAATTCTTCCTCAAACGCCATTACGAGCTCCACCCTGTCTAAACTATCCAGGCTTAAGTCCTTTTGGAAATCAGCTGTTTCAGTAACCTGTAGAGAGGGATCAAATCTAATAACCACTTAACATGATGTCCTCTAATGACAGAGAAACCAATTGAACATAAACAGTAGGAATGAAATAAGATGACTACCTTAGATGCATCAATTTTGTCAAATTTCTTCACCAATTTAATAACTCGGTCCTTTATTTGATCAGCGCCGGCACCTGCTGCTGCACACATGTGGCGGCTCAGAGATTTGATCAAATGTCCTCTCTCGGTGGGCAAACATTTGTCGGCTGAACTCCCTACCCTCACATGCCACAAGATGGAATTCCTAATGCTTTGCATGTTGGAAAGATCTGAAATTGAAATGCAGAAAGCATCAAGATTGTGACAATTTGAGACATCAACATGTAAGGATTAAGGAATGTAGAATTAGGGGTGGGAGAATCGAACTCGGGACCTACGAGCAGAACAAATACTCTTAAGCTACAAGCTTCTAGCTTTAGATTTCTTTCTCTGAGAAAGTACATCTGGGCTATGAAACTTTAATTGCAGGATTTTGAACAATAACTCAAATCCGCCTGATGTTTTTCTACAAATCCAAACGCTACTTTGCATTATTAATCCTTCCTAGAACTTGATTAGTTAAAAGTAGACTGCTTTTATCAAAGAAAACGGAAGAGTATGGGGACGACAAAGCCCAACAGCATTTCAATTTTAAACCCAGCAAATGATTTGAACCATAACCAGCAATCAAAATCCAGAGAATAAAACAAGAAAAAGCATAAACAGTGAATTGAAGTGGAGAAGGGACAGAACATACGATGAAACAAAGCAGACTCGCGAGGCTGCCGCTCTAGTTCGCTATCGGTTTGTTCGGAGATCGCACGCCACTTTTCCCGATTTTCAGGTTGCTTTACGAGGTGGAGGCCTCTTGTCTAGAAATTAGGGGACGACGAGATAGGCCCACCGGCGGCGATTGGACCTATCCTATGTGACCCTTTGGAGCCTGGTTAATCTATGTCAAAAAGCCCAACCTAACCCAGCCCAACACGCTCTCTCTCGCTTCTATTTTTTTTCTACTAAGACACGAACTCTACATTCGTTCTTTAACTTTCAAGAGGTAATATTCAAAATTATTCTGATCAACGATATTCAAACTCAAAGTGAAAGTGAATGATTATGTTATCCTAATCAAGTGATTTTATTCACATTTGCGTCCTTTTTGTTTTTACTTCTGAGCAACAATTTTATTTCTACATATATGCATTGGTAATTTTAATCTAATGGAAGAGAAAAGTCCATTCCCCAAACTCAAAGGAAAGAAACCCACTTTACCCCAAAAAAAAAAAAAAAAAACCCAAAATGAAAACCAAAACAAAATTATTTGTTGATTTTATAAAACGGTTTGATGATTAAAGAGTGTCGTCAACTCAAAGTGTTGTGGGAAGTGAGTTTTGGGAGGGAGAGAAAGACTTAGATTAAAGGTAAAAGAATGTAAAAGTGATAAAGGAACTCATTAAGTTGTTAATGTATAACCGTTAAAATCTATTTAATTTGATATAAGCATAATACAAAGAGGAGAATGACCATGATAATATGGCATAAGGGAAAAAATCAACTAAATAAATCTTAATGAGCATTAACAATCTAATAAATTGATTTGTTCCTTATTAAAAGGAGTTTGTAAAAATATATATGATGACGTGAAAAACATTTCCCTCATTAAACCAACAACATGATTGGAGTAGCATTCCATCTTCCAAACTCATCGGAGATTATTACTGCTTCTTTCATTATACCAATTTACCTTTACCATTACCATTACTCATCAATCAATTAATTTCCATTCCCTTCGTTTTTTCACTTTTCTTCTTTTCCATCTGCCCGCCCTGCCCCACCCTTCCCTTTGTGTTTGTTGCTGATAATCTAATAATTTAATAATCTCTCTCTCTCTCTCTCTCCCCCCTCTTTCTCCTCTCTTCCCTTCCCCTTCCTTCTCTCTCGTTCTCTCCCTATATTATATATAAAAACGGGGTTGTCTTTGTGGGGCTCTTTTTTAGAGTTTTGACGCCCAATCAATCAAATTTGTGAGCTTTGTGGGATTTAAGGTTTCATCATATGAGATTGGATTCCAATTCTGCAAAGTGGGTATTATTATGCATCAGTAATTTCGTTCTCGTCGGTTGGTGCTTGTTGCTAGCGGAGGTCATATCCAAGCAATCGGGATGGGGAATGTGAATGGGAGAGAAGATGAGGATGGAAGCCCCTCAGCGGCCGAGGAAGATAGCGGTGCCGCCGCAGCTTGCAGGAGGGCCCTGCCCACGGCGCCCGTCTTGTTGATGGGTCCGCTGAGTTGATGGGTCAATCGCCTCCTCATAGCCCTAGGGCCACTCACTCCCCTTTGATGTTCACTCCCCAAGTCAGTTCCTTTTTTCTCTCCTCATCTGTTTCCTCATGTCACTTGTTTTCAAGGTTTTTTGCTTTTCTTAATTTTTCCACGGAGATTCAGATTTTACCCAACTGCCATCGAATTGCTTTTTTCGTAGAATTGGGGGCCTTTATGATTCAGCTTAGAATTGCTTGTGTGAATTATGCTGTGCAATTGTTCTTTCCTTTTTATTGATATCTTGCTGAGAGGCGGCCAAATCGTACAATTTCTAGTCTGTATTTTGGATCATTGTATTACCAAAAACAGAGATTTGACTTGTGGTTCTCCTTGAGGGTCTGAATTTCGGAGCGTTGTAGGGGCAGAAACTGAAAAATGAGTGGTCAATCGTTGGGAGACATTGAGCGAAACCAAGTAGTAAACTTTGATTCCGACATCCTTCCTCCTCCTCCTCCAATTCTGAAATTGGGATATCAGGTTTACATGAATCTGTCTCTTGGTGCAATACAAACACTTAAAGTTTTAATGCTAAGATCCTTTAGAAATACCATTGTGCACCAACCCATTGGTAATCTGCCTTCTGCTCAAGTATATATGATAAGCTCGGTCAACTCCCTGAAAACGTTTTCCTTGCTTGTAGCCTTGCCAGTTACCCAAGCTGATGTATTTTCTTATTTGTTGATCTACGGCGATCCATAAGTTTCTTCCTCTTGTTCAATTATTATTATCATCTTCTTTTTCCAGGTCCCTGTCGTCCCCTTACAAAGACCAGATGAGATACAAATTCCAAACAGCTCGTGGATGCAAACGTCAGGGTTTGAAGACATGTGCTGTGAGCAAGGAATTCCAACTATGATTACATGGAGCTATGGTGGGAAGGATGTAGCTGTGGAGGGATCATGGGATAATTGGAAGACAAGGTTCCTGAAAATAAAAGAAAGAATAATAAGTATTCTAGATTATGAATATAGTTTGCACTATGTGAACTCTTGCCTAAGTTCTTTATTCTATCCTGTTTTTCAGATTGGCCTTGCAGAGATCAGGGAAGGACTTCACTATTATGAAGGTACTGCCATCCGGTGTTTACCAATATAGGTTTATTGTTGATGGGAAGTGGAGATGTTCTCCTGACTTGCCCTTGACCCAAGATGATGCTGGCAATTCTTACAACCTTTTGGACTTGCAGGTAATGATTGTCATCTCTTCTTAGGTTGATACATGTTTTGAATGAGTGTGACAATCCCATTACAGCAGCTCATAACTGTTTATAATCCCAACCTGAAAGTAGTATAACCTTCTTTTAGGATTGAACAAGGGATTGTTTGGTGTTTATTATAATATCATCATTCAGGAACTGTATTCATCTGAATTTGTTAAAGCATTTGGATATCCTTTTTTAGCTTAATACTGTTTATGCTTTTTGTTCCAGTCTGAACTTAATTCTGTTTATGTAAGTCCTACTTTTTCATGATTTTGATTTCCATTAACTATTCAATGATGATAGTCGATTGTGTGGACTAGGGAATAACAGTTATATTGTGTTGATGATATTTCTCGTATTCATGCAACCGATATTTCATATTCAATAGTCCATAGTGCATACATATAAGCTTTCCTTTTATACGTACCATTCAAGTTGTCCTGTCATTAGAGTCTAATTTCTTCAGTAACAATATTGTGTTGTTATATATGTGTTTTGAAAGCGTCTGTATTTAATACCTTCACCATGCTTAGCTGTTAAATTCATGTTTACATTTTAGGTAGACTGCTTTTTCACCTCCATTGCATATCTAATTTCTGTTCATAAAGCTCTCTATCTAAATTTCTGTTTTTAAGCCCGTGCAAAGCTGTCTGCAAAAGAGAAATTTGCATTGAGCCCAATTAAGTAGATCAGGTTGGACTTAAGGTCAGCCTCTAACTTGAAACACGTTGATACAAGACAAAAACCAGGGATTCCCTATATCTAGTATGACTCCTACCAAATTGTGAAAGCCTCCTGAAACCTATATTCAACCCTAATCGAGATGGGGAAGACTAGGTCTCTGTTGAAAGACTAAATGATATTTCATAAGGTCCTGTTCAGGTAGCCTTTGTCTTTTCCAGTGAGCTGTAACGATCCCCTTCTTTCATGTGTTGGTTTGGATATTACATAGAGAGTGGGCAATTAAAGTTATTGTATATAGTACTAATAAGAGAAGGATCAAATTACAGCTGATTAAAACTTCTTTCTGTGCACCTCTCTACTTTGAGTTAAACTTGGGGACGATTAGAAATTTATATGCCGCGATTAAAAACGAAGTGCTCTAAATGATAATTTTGTTATTGTTTTAATGTTGGAAAAGAGCGTGAGTTTATGGATCAGACTAAAATGACATTTCAGTTGATGTAAATTTAGCACTTTTTTTCGTATGTGTGTGTATGAGAGATTATTGAAATTGCACATTTGTATGAGGATTTTTAATCAATAGGTTGTGTTAAACTTTTCTTATATATTTTTCTAAATTAGTGCCGTCAGTTGTAATTCTCTATAGTGGCATAATGGATACATGTAACATGCAACAGAATGCGTCGTATTTTCTGGGTTGCCTGGGTCTTGACCTTTGGTTTTAAGTACGAGCGTATAGAATTGTTTGAAAACTGGGCTTGGATGTGTGAGTCCTATAAGCTGATTGATATTGTTGGATTCTTCTGCAGGATTACGTCCCAGAAGACATCGGAAGCATTTCTGGTTTTGAACCTCCCCAGTCGCCAGACTCAAGTTATAACAACCTGCAGCTTGGATCTGAAGATTTCGCGAAGGAGCCCCCATTGGTTCCTCCACACCTACAAATGACACTGCTGAATGCACCTTCATCTTACATGGAGATGCCGCCTCCTTTGTCGAGACCTCAACATGTGGTACTCAATCATCTGTACATGCAGAGAGGGAAGAGTGGTCCATCTGTGGTGGCACTCGGGACAACAGAGAGGTTTATAGCGAAGTATGTTACAGTGGTTCTCTACAAGTCTTTGCAGAGATAAGAAAACACACACACAAAGTGTCTGTCTGGACTCCACGGTTCCCATTATGTAGTTAGTTTTATATCAATTTCAAAGTCAAATGCCATTTCCATGGCGTCGGTTTATGTTCAGGAAGGATTTGTCAGGTGAAACTTAAAGATTGTATTTTCACACCATTCCATTGCTTAATGACCATTGATCCATCCGCTTTTGCATTCTTGCACTTGCACTTATTGGCTGTTTGTTTCTCTTCAGTTGTTGTACAAGAAAAAAAGGTGAAAGAATGAACTTTGTTGACAACTGTTGTCGCCCTATCTGCATTTTCTCTAATTTGTCTGATCCCCATTTCCCAAACCTGCCAAGGTCGAAGGGATAAATTTTCTGTGTCTAATTCATTTGCTGCCAATATAACAAACTTTTGCTCACAACATGTGGAAAGATCAATGTATTTGTAAACACAAATTTATGCAACAAATAAAAAAAGAATACGTGACAAAATAAATTTTGTATTACTGAAAGTTTAGGTTTGCAATATGCGATACAATTTTTCAATACTCTAATTTGATCTGGGGTTGTATGGGTAGAGATGTTGATCCAATGGTCGCAGTGACTTGATCTCGAACCTACGAATGATGCAAGGATTTAGCTTGTTGTGATGGATGACCCGGCACATGTAGTGGTGTTTGATGGTTTTTCATGGGTATGGCGAGGAATGCAGAGAGCTTTATGAGTGTTCTGAACCAATGAAAGCCGCAAGAGTTTGGCTTGTAGCGATAGAGGAACCGGCATGTGTAGTGGTGCTTGATGGTTCTTCGCAAGTATGGTGACAAATGCAGAGAGCTTTCTGAGTCTCTTGAGCGTTTGGGAGTTTGAGCGTCTGAGTGTGAGGATGTATGTGTGTGGACTTGCTTCCTTTCCCCTCCTTCACTTATGAATGAGTGCCTAGTATTTATACGCAAAAAATTGGATTTGGTTTATTCTTTGCCTAGAATTAATTTGATCAAATTAGGGTTATTTTGTCCCGTTTGTACTTAATTATGATTTGTTTGCCAGATATCAACATGTGTCATTCTTGATAACTCGTCAGACTTTGAGAGTCGCACACTATGTGTGCAATTTAATAGGAACGTGCAATTTAATAGGAACCGTGATGTATGCAACGTAAGCCCCTTGTGAATAAAAAATTTAATTTGTTTGCGAAGCTCGAAAATTTGATGTCTGCAGTATCATGATTACTTTTGCCTTATGTCAATGTTGTCTGACAAAAATTTCATCGCGAATGAAAATAATTAATTTGAAGGCAAAGCAAGGTTTTCTGTGGAAAAAGATCCCTGCCGGATTGTTTTCTTAGGAATTTTAAGGATCTCGTGATTGTGACCGTTTATCGTGCATCGTACGGTTAGAAATCATTTTAAAATTCAAATTCAAAATTAAATATAAATAATACCTAACGAAAACTAACCGTATGATGAATGGTCACGATCATGGGATCCCTAGAATCTCTAGGAAAAGGATCCAGCGAGGATCCTTTTCCGTTTCCTATAAGACTACTTTCAATTGCATGCATGCTCATACCAAAACTAAAAACACATACGCAAGGATAAATTTTGAAAAAAGAGAGTCAAGTTCGAAGTTAAAAGTCTCAAAAATGCTACTCTTATCAACTTTTTGTACAATTTTGTTAGCAGATATAGGATCCACATGCGTTGACAGACCATACCTCTATTAGACAGATTGTCTAAATGAAAGTACAAATAAATGGTAAGTATATCATTACTCTGAAAGTCATTAGTGAAATAAAGAAGTCTTAATAAGTACTCAGATCCCTGCGCTAAAAGATGACATTCACCGTAAACACACACTTGGATGGGGAATCATGCATGGAATGAATAAGCATATATAGATGAAGTTTGATGCATGAGGACGGAGACCGTGATCAGCATGTGTGGGGAATATTGTATTGCTGGTCTAATTCCAAAAGCCAAGCTAAACGTTATTTAGTTGATCAATAAACAAACTTAGACTTAGTTGGTCAATAAACCTTATTGTCCATCATTTAAACTTTTTCCCAAGCCCATCAAGGATTGACTATATTGATTTTTGTTGACCTCTAAATTTTAAACGCTAACACCAATCAATTGGAAAAGAAAGGCTGATGTGAAGTGGGGTTATACGAATTGCCGAATTGGTTTCCAATAGCAACTACAAAAGGCTATTTTGATGACTGATTTGGAGTTGTAGATGGTTTTGGTTTATCCGGCGGGGGCATCGAGCGGACCCTTATTTGGGGCAAGCACCGACAAAGTATGGTGGCTTTTATTCTTCTCAAGGGTATAATAGTTGTCAACAATCTCAAGGAAATATTTACTGGCGTCTCAATTAAGTTCGAGATTGGACGTGAAGGTATAACACAAATCTTAATTTATTTATTTTTCATCTTGTTTAACATTTTGATGGATAATATTATTTAGTTGGACGTAGAGATAAAATAAATGATAGCATTCACACGCTACTTTATTTTTAAATATTATTCTCAATTTTAACAAATCGAATAATTTGAAAATAACCAATGACAAAAAGTTAATGAAAAATGTGTGAAAATTATGGGCTTGGTGTGGAAAGGGTAAAATGGGAACAAGAAGATTTTGGGAGTTTGTGGAACTTTGAAAGACACGTGGAGGGGAGGCTGATGACGTGCATCAATCTATCGTTCAAATTCCTTATTGAGCGCTTAAACGTGTCGCGTTCCAATTGGATGCAAGGCAGGAGATTCAATCCGTATTCCCAATTTGACGGGAGAGCTCCGGATCTCTCCCAACAAAGTCACATAATCAATTAATCTGAATCTTTAAAATTTAATTCAATGACTCTGAATCTCTTTAAAATTATGATATTTTTAACTGTTAAATTAAATTTCAAAAGTTCGAATTAATTGATTATGTGGCTTTTGTAGGAGAGATCGGAGGAGATCTCTCCCCCAATTTGACCTCGGAACAGACGGTATAGATGAAGGAGTGGTTGGGTTTAACGTGTAATTTGGTGATGTGCTGTCTTCCACCAAGGCTAAATGATATTTGTATTTTTATTAATTAATAAAACATTCATTGTCAACAAAAACGCTATGAAATTATTAGTTTAATCCTCGAATTAAAACAAAACATGAAAAAGAAATATGAAGTAGAAATGTAATTTTACAAAACCAAATTTTACTTTTTTTTCAAAATCTCACCTACGTGTAATCCTAACATATATTTAATTTAAAAATAAAAATAAAAAACAATTTCCTAGCCCCACATTTTCTATCATTCTCTTCCCCTCTCATTCTATTTCAAAAATAAAAATAAAAAATTTTCTCACACACTTTATGTGTGCCCATATGCTAGTATAAATTATAAGAAAGACTAATGAAAATGACTTGAAAACTTTGAGTGTTAACGATAAGGACAAAATAAAGGGTAAAGTGAATAGTATCAAGATTGACTTTTTAGTGTAAAAATATGATTTTTCGTTAAAATGAACAATATCTGGAATTTTTTGTTAAAATTTCATAAATTATAAAGAGGGGCTAGGGTGTGTGTGGGTAGGGTAGATTGCGTTCAGAAACAGCCACGCCTCAAAATTCTCTTTATTGATTCCATTCTCTTTCTTAGGGTAAGTTCATCCCTAAAAAATACGCTGGCATTTGGCCTATTTAATTCATTTAGTAAACAATGATAGACTCTATGAACAATAAATTGGCCAAATACATCTCCACTTTTAAAAAATGCGCTAGCACAAACGATCTCCATCCCTACAAAATACGCTAGCATCCAGCCCATTTAAAATATTATTAATTTTTTTATAAAATAATAATAATAAAAAATTAGTTTTAATTTCAAATATGATTTTTAACTAATATTGTCAGGTCACGTATCATTATCCGAAAATATTATTTCGTGGATGGATTTTCGATAAAATTTTCAACCAATTCCAATGCGCCATGTGTTAGTATCTGTTTACAATAATTTAGCCAAGATTTCGATCAGATTTTCAACCAATCTTATCATGCCACATGTTATTATCCGAACATACTCTTTTGTGGGTAGATTTCCGATTTGATTTTCAACCAATCTCGACGCATCATCTGTTACTATCTGTTTATAATAGTTTAGCCAATAATTCGATAAGATTTTCAACCATTCACGTTGTGTCACATGACATTATCCAGAACCTCATTCTTTCTTTTTTTGTCCATATAAACCATACATCTATTCTCATTCATACATCAAACTCAATCATTCTTTTTTAACTCACAATCATAAAACTCAATCTCTCTCTCAAATTTTTTTTCTTTCCTTCCTATGGTCTAAAATTTTTCATCTATCAAATCGCCTGATGTATGGTTCAGTTCAGATCTCAACCCCATATCCATCATTCAATTAAATCCAAAATTATGTGAATTTATTGTATCAAATTTGGCTAGTACTAATTTCATGATTTAATTTTATTATCTTTTCTTTTCAAATTGTAAGTAATTGACTGTGTTAATCTGTTTGTATTTGTTACGGTTTTTCAATGTTTTTTTTTTTTTTTGTTCAATTTGTATGCATTTGCTTTTTCAATCCTTCAATTAGATCCAAAATTATTTGGATTTTTTTTATAGGTAGTTGTGTTTTATGCGTATGACTACACCTCTCATACGGGTGTTCAATGTATTTTTTGTTCAATTTGTATGCATTTGCTTTTTCAATCCTTCAATTAGATCCAAAATTATTTGGATTTGTTTTTAGGTATATGGCTTTTTCAATCCTTCAATTAGATCCAGAATTATTTGGATTTGTTCAATCCTTCAATTAGATCCAAAACTATTTGGATTTGTTTATAGGTATATGTGGTATATGCGTTTTATGTGTTTTACTTATGTTATTCTCTTTTCTTTCTTCTTCTCTTTCACATTTTATATAATCGATTTTGCTAATCTTCTCTTTTCACATTTTATATAATCGGCTCTGCTAATCTATTTGGTGTTTAGATGATTACGAATCTAATATTTGCTATTTTAGGGCTGGCCAATTCCATAAACAATTTTTTTCTTTTTCTTTCACATTTTATATAATCGAATTTGCTAATCTATAGGTGTTTAGATGATTACGAATCTACCATGTAGGTTTCCATTAAATGTTTGATATTTTGGGGCTGGCCAATTCCAGAAACAATTTTTTTCTTTCTCTTTCAC